TGATTGTCTGATTTAGTTCTAATAATTACCATGACTCTTTATGTCATAAAAATCTATAATTGGCCTGTATTATGGGTGTATAATTACTTGGTTTAGTTCTGTCACCCTTCTAATGAATGGGTAGTACATGAGCAATTCTTCAGTCCTTGGATCCTACCCTGTTTTAGCAGGTTGTTTCCAGACTTCTGTTAATGACTTCTTGTTAACATTTCGATTCCTTGAGTGCAATTGATACCGTACCATTGAGCCCTGATGATTTATTAATCTTGGGTGCCTCTAGTAACCAAAACACCTTTGCCTTTTCTGCACTGACACTGTTTAATTCAGAGCTTTGTCCTTCCACTGCCTGAGACATGTTTCTGATTTCTTTCTTAGTGTCCATCTAAGTGAAATAGTAGTTTAGTACTTAACCATTTCCTGAAGATTATTTTGCATTGTTTTCCCAGTCACATTCTAAATATATTGCAATTTAGTATTTTGAACATTATAATAACATACTTAGATTTTTGTTAAGAATCCCATTTGTCCTTGTGAACAAAAACACCTCTCAGCTGTTCAGTCTGATTGATGGCAGGGGTAGTGCTCAATTTAAATTTAATTTAATGGGCATAAACTAGTTAATATTAGTCTTGGAAAACAGTTTAATGCTGGTTTTAAAAATTCGTTTCTTTTAATTTAAGGGCAATTTTAAGATCCTGAAGTGTCTCAAACTACACTGGTGAACCCAGTACATTCTGGTCATGTTAGTCATGTGGTCCTGCTTCCAAGTGCAAACTATTATTGCTTTTCACTTAAGTCTCAGACAAGTTTTGGCTTTTGGCAAGTTCTGACAAGTTTTGTATTAGAAACCAAACTACATTCCCAACTGGCATAGCACAAAGCGTGTGTTTATACACAGGACAGGATTGATATGAATTAGGAAAGAATGGCTATTGATTGTGGTGACAGAACACTTCTTTGGGCTGAACATTGTGCACAATAAACCTCAATGAACTTGTGCAGGCTATTGTTGTGCACTCCCTGCAGACTATCCTGATTAACCTAGTACTCTGGAGTCTTCCTCATTCCTGTGGTCCAAAAAATTCCTCATGCTGGTCTTTTCCAGTATTTGAATACTGCTCTGCATTAACCTCACCTATATTTTGCCAGGGTAGGGCAGATTTCTCAGAATGGAAGGGTGTTCTTCCCAGACTTGACCCATGTGTGTTCTTTAATGTGCATTTGCCACACCATTTTGGAAAGACTATGTATTTGTGTCAGTATCAGCTTCTATTTAGGCCTTCAGAAACTATTATATTCTGTTTGTCCTGTATGTGTTTCACACTTAGTCTTTGGTTCTCCACAGTTTCTTATCACTTTTCTACAGTGACTGTCGGTGGTGCTTTTACACCTCAATAACCAATACCATCTGGAAGCTGATGTGCTGCTTTAGAAGCATGATACTGGTGTGCAGAAGGATGTTTTTATCACACAAGTGCATAAATATTTAAGCAATGATCTGTTTTGTACAGGATTCATTTGAAATCAATTTCAAACTCAATATACCTTATTATTTTTAATTTATTTGCCTATCTGTGTTGGTGTACTCTCCTTTAAGGTATGGGTGTTTATTCAAACCGAAGGCTGTGCCATTTTACTGTAAGAGCTCAGGATCTCATTGAAGCCAAGTACAATTAATCATTCCCTCTACCTGCTGTGTTCATTCTTCAGATGTAGCCTTGGCAGCTGTGAAGAAAGATGCTGATAACAATAACCACTTTGAAGCATAGTCTAGGCAAAGCTTTTGGAGCTGCTATTTTCAGTCTGGTAGCAGACATTTAAAATTGCTAGTGCTTGTATAAAGATGCATGCAGTTTATCTTACAATTGAAGCTGAACATTAAGACTACACTGTTAGGATCTTTTTTATTTTTCCTTGGATGGGTAAGAAGGCTGTGGCATGTACATAGAAACTGAACTGCTGTTTTACTCCACCAGAGGGAGCTACTGTTGTCGAAATCAGGAAGACTTGATTTCTCTGAGCAGTCTTGTTCTGTACTGTACCTCTTTTTAAAATGATTTTAAAAGTTTAGATTTAAAAATAAGTGCAAGGTAGACACTGTTATAGAGCATCATATATGAAATGGAAATAAAAGTTTTAAATTTCCTGTGGCTTTAAGTTCTTTGTAGAAGACACAATTTAATATAGCTAAAAACAAGCCAAATAGTTATTTTGTTGGTTTTATTTTTTTGTTTTTGTTTGGGTGTGTGTCAGGGGAGGTCTGTGTGTTAAACAGTGTAATACTTTGTATATATGTAGTGAATCAAGATCTTAATCTCCTGTTGCCATCTCAGTTACAGTTTTCATAAGTCTTTCCTATTTGGAAAAAGTGTATATTCCTGTTTGCATCCATTTTATTTATGACTTACTAATATTGCTCCATGTTTCTTTTGCCTCCTTTTGTGTTAGACTTAGACAATACAAAGCAATCTCTGAATACCTTTAGAAAGTCTTCATCTAGCAACAAACTATACACTTTCTAGGGCCGTATTTTCTACTGGTCCTGACAGATATTTTTCTTATTCCTCATAAGTTTTATGTATTTAATATTTCTTAATGATTAGTAGTTTTAATTTATACTTTTTTAGCGACACTATTTTTATAAATTGCTGACGATAGCATTCGATTCATGTTTCTGAATGTTTGGAGTTCACAGCGCTGTACGACGTATTAAAGAAATATTATCTAATGTAGTATGTGCTGTGTTAATAAACTAGCTGAACAATGACTGCTTTGTCTTTATGCTTTGTGTTTTGTCCTTTACCTTGTGTCAAAGAAGTAACGATGCCCCATGTTTTTTCTCATTGCTTTCTGTTTTGTAGACGAGTATGTAAATAATGTGGAAGGACCTGTCCATCAAAGCACACTTATAGTCCCCTTGCACAGAGTAGATTCACTGGAGTGTGATAATCCCAAGAACACCCCTACACCTGCCATACATGGCTGTAGATATTCAGCACTAGTCTTCAATGCCCATTCTGACACCAGTCCATCACAGGGCACACACAGACATGTGCATAGATACAGGGGGCTATTTTCCCTGAAATGAACCTACCAGTATATCTTAGGACTGTGGGACGCTTCTCTGCCTTTTGGCTAAGATCAAGTGTAGTATCTTTGGACTGTGGGAGAATTCTGGAGCAGCTGGAGGAAACCCACACAAACATGGAGAGAACAAACTCCACACAGACAGCACTTCAGAAACTGAACCCAGGGCCCAAATGATATGAGGCAGCAATGCCAACCACTGTAACACCTAAAAATAAAATAAGGTCAAGCCTTGTTCTGTATCTCCTACAGTATATAAGAGACACCTTGTGTGGAATGAAAAAGAATCCCTTACATATCGAACTCCTACATGATGGTTATTCTTGGTACGTCTGTGTTTCCACTTGTTGCAGATGTGAAAACCCAGATTGTTGTGTTGCAGATGTCGAACTTGAACTTGAACTTTATTGCCATATGTAACCGGTACTGGTACAATGGAATTCTTACTTACAGAAAGTCTCTCAATTGTAAAACAAGTGTAAAAAACAAGACAAAGTGCAAACAGTGCATCAAGACAATATACAAACAAACAATAGACAATGTGCAAGTAAACATGTAGACAGTTTGAATGTAAACAATACAGACGTGTAAACAATGACTGGAGATGTGCAATAGATAAGAAATCATAAAGAGGTAGATGGTGATGGTGTAGGTGTGGTCCGAGGAGGATGGCTTAATGTGTTCGCCAGTCTCACTGCTTGTGGATAGAAGCTATTGAAGAATCTAGTGGTAAGTGTCTGTATGCTCTTATATCTCTTGCCTGAGGGTGAAGAGCTCATGCCCGGGGTGGTGACTGTCCTCTTTGATGGCCAGAATTCTACCACGGCAGCGGTCCTCATAGAGCTGTTTAATCTCGTTGAGACCGCACCTGATGATCTTCTGGGCCATATTGACCATTCCCTGCAGTGCCTTTCTTTCTCGCGAAGAGGTGTTGCCGTACCACACCGTGATCCCATTGGTGAGGATGCTCTCGATGGTGCAGCAGTAGAAGTTCACCAACACATGTATTGGCATCCCCCGTCGCTTGAAATGTCCGAAAGGAACTACCATTAAGAAACCTTTAATGCTTTTATTTCAAGAGGCCGATGAGCAAGTTTCATTCACAGGGCAGGGAAACTACTTGAAACCCTTGTCGCAGTTCTTTAGGAAAAAGGTGTAAAGAAATATTCCCGGTGGACGATTTTTCATTTCCAAAGCTCAGGCCGTCCTGCAGGTGGGTGCCATTCGGTCCACTGCGCCTGCGCTCTTTCGCGCACAGCTGTGCTGACGCGTAGTGACCGTGAGCGGCCGGTGCGACTTTTCGCGTGTTGCAGGTTCGCGGCCGTAACGGGTAAGATTGTATTCATCCCCGGTTGTTTTTGTTTTATGTAATATCGTTGTACTATGTTATACCTTTTGTATAAATAATCAGCTTACCTGCGTCGGACAGCAAGTTTACGTTGCACGCCAGACAGCGCTCATGAAGGTGTGCTCATTTGTTTGACGCGTGTGTTTTGAGGGCAAGCCTGGACCCGGCTAGTGCATAGCGTTTCAAACATATTAAATAAAGATAATTTCATCTCTCCGGGCAGCGGTAGCAAATACTATGATAATATTGCATGCTCACCTCACAGACGTAATGTCCGTTTTTCAGTGAAATGCGAGTGCAACAGCGGTAAGAGTTCGCGTATTAAAAGTTCGCAAATGACTTTACGTGCTTCAGGGTTTTGGACCATAATATAATTCAAGTACATGAATGTTCTCTTAGGTTCAGCATTATGCGTGACTTACTGTATGGTTAAAAAGTTTGTTTTAACGAGATAACAGCTTTGCTGCTGTGAAGACGATTGCATCTTAAGGAGATAACGTATCACTGCCGATGGGACTCTTCATCAATGGGTCGCTGTTGTCTCTGGCTGAAGGTTCTAGAAACGCGAAGTTGCTCAAGTCTCCCGTCTCTTGTCTCCAGAAGACACAAACTGCTCTGTCTAAACCAAAGCTTGAAAGTACGTCTTGGGGAACCCTTTAGGTGCCATCTTTCAGATTTTGAAAAAAAAAACCCCGACAAAAAAACGTTCTGCAACTCCTTTAAATACTTGAGTATTCCTGGGTCAGAAGCGTTTAAAAGCGCAGCTAAACGACAAGCTGGAAAAGCCACTACAAGACCTGATGACTTCTTACTTCTGCAGGCAGCTGGGTTAGGTGAGAGAGATTGTTTTAGACCCGACCCCAACAAAATACCGTAGATAGCATAACGATTCTAAGTTATTTTGTAACGTGAAGCTGCAGCAGCAGTCTACAGTTTAAGTTAATGATAACTCGAACAGTCAGATGTATCCCTAGAAAAGTATAATCTGAAAGGAGGAGAAACCGTTACTTTGCACGCATTTGCATTGTAGTAGTACAATAATCACAACTGTGTCGTTTCACAACGTAGCGGAATCGTTGTGAAAATTCACCCTTGCTGCTATAAAGGAGTTGCCTACTCATTCATTGTGTAAGTGTTGTTTTTTTCATTGTGAAGCAGTTAAGGTAGACACGTCGAGCAGTGATAGATACAGCTTGTTTTTCGTGGTGCGTTTGAGAAAAGCAATCGTCTTTAAGCTACAATGCAGTGATATCTCTTTAAAACACGATATTGATTTTTTTTTCCTCCAAGGCGCTTTACACGGCAATTGTAGTTTTCAACAGGATTATTCCATAATAATCCCTAAAACGACACGAAAAAAGTGAACTCCAAAGGTTGGAACCATGGCTCTACATTCTCAGCTGTTTTCACAGTTAATGCAACGTTGAACATCTAAGCAATTAGAAACACCTGTCAGCCATTTGTCCCAAATGAAGGATGGAGCACGACGAATAACATTGTGGCTAAATATGGATGGAAAATAAAACTCGAAAACAAAAGTTCTAATGCTTTTGCCTCTTCATCTTTTGATCTGAAATACAGATTTCATCAGTACACAGCAAAAATGACAAATTTCCCTTTAGCCTCTTAATATTTATGGTCTTCACTGGATGTGTAAAGGACTGCAATGTACGGTAGCTCAGTGGTTAGAGTTCAGTATTTGTGACTATAGGGTTTTAGGTTGAAATCCCAGCTAAAGAGACTGTTGTCGTAAACTTGAGAAAGATACTTCAACCCCCCCCAAAATGAGTTTCAATTAAATTCAACTTTATTGTCATTAAACTTACACAGGTGCATAAGTACAATGAAAAGTGTTTCTCATTAGTCACTCAGGTGCAGTATATAAACAGGACAGAAGATAAGACAATAGACAGTTACACAATAGTAATAACATAACATGAGTAACATGTAATCAAGTAAGTGAGTTGAAATGCAAGTCACTTTGGATAAAAGCACCAGACAGATAACTAAATGTAAAATGTAGCGATCTCTTCTCAAGAATCCTGCGTATATTACATTGTGTTCTGCAGCAGGTGGGCGAATCAGGTCCAGTCTGGATGGGAGCTCACCAGATTCTCTCGCACCCAAGGAAGTGAACCCCCTCCCTAGACGTGTGCTGCTCAGGCCTGCACCCCAACACTACTCTCCACCTGACCATACTGCCCTTCTTGTTGTGGGAGGACGGACTGTGTCTCGGGAGGCGGAGAATGGACCCCATAGGTAATGCGGATTCTCAAACAGAGGCTTTACAGGTTAACGATACGTCTCGTTCTTCCCACTCTTGATCGGGAAAAGGGAGAAATGCCACACTAAAGGTTTTATGAGGAAGTCACACGTGAAAGCAGTAAGCGGTTTGAGTGCAGAGGCGCTGAACTTGCGAGATGACAAAACCGTTTGTAAGTTTTACTGGTTCTGCGGTTCCCGAAATTAATTCCTGTTCTGTCTTGTGTTTTTCAGAAGAGCCAGGCACCGTGAGTGAAACACCTAAGAAAGGGTCGAAAAGCAAAGGTATGTCCATTTTTTACTTTTTTACAATGTAATTCATTTTTTTTTTAACTACAAAGAGAATTCTAAGGGCTCAGTGATGTACAGTAGAAACAGGAATTTGAATGCATGCTTATGGTTCTGCCATCAAATGCTACAGTATACCGTATAACTGGTGTTTCTGAAAAAAATTCATATATGATTGTTTTTTTTCCTAATTGTAGGTTGGCAAGTTAATGTGGTGACACTTTTATGCTATGAAATTTAACTACAACCATAAAAGATTATACAAATCCTGTTTAAGGTGTTGTTTATTGATAGTGTTTGGGGACTTTTAAGATATTTTGCATAAGTAAATCAATTAATGAAGCAAAACTGATCACTGAGAGTGCTTTCATACACAATTGTTTCTGGGAGACTAGGAGAGGCAGTGGTGTGAAGTAGTGTATAGGGCTTTTGTCTGTAGACCAGAGGGAAATGGGCCCAAATTCTGAATGTTGTGCTTTTATTCTACCGTTGAGAAAGGTATCTCAATCCATTTGCTCCAGAAAACATTCTGGTTATATGAATACTGTAGGTCTCCATGGTTGAGGAAAAAAAGGATTTGTAATGAAATAATATAAATGAAGAGAATCTGGCAACTGATATATCTGCTTAAATCAAACGTTTAAAAATATAAGTCATGGTAGCTGTTCAAACAAACTGCTTTATTGTCTGTTTCAGCTACGTTCACCTGTGACATCTGTGGAAAATCTTACAAGTATCTCAGAAGTTACGTGAAGCACCAAGAAGAGCATAAAATAAGAGGTTCTGTTTTTTCCCACTTTCACTTTTTTACGTGGTCTGAATTCCGTCAAAACGTGAGACACCTGTATATAAATCCAATATTTGCTGGTTGCATTGTCATTGCATTGTAACAAACAGGAAGTCATTATTGAAGTGGCATTGCTGGTATTTGTCATAGTCTGTGGACCCAGTTTTCGGTTTAATCCAAGTTTACGTTCTACTTTTCTATTCACAAAATAACACGTTTATTGTTTGCGATGATGAAGAAAGAAAAGAATTAAGTAGTCAATTATATGTTGTTTGATTAATTGTGCCGCTTTCTGCTTTATGTTTGCTCATTCTAATTGCGGAGAGATTAGAGAGAGCAAAGCTGTCCTTTCTCATCCATTTGCACCAGTGAAGACAAAAGCAGCTTCACGCCTACATCAAAGTTTGCCTTTGTTCTTTGTCTCTGCAGATGTGCTGTAAGCAGACTCAGTCCAAAGCATGTTGCTTGTCCCATACTAAGACAGTCTTCCCTTTTAAATTAGGTCAGACCTTTTCCTTCTCAGGTTTTGTTCAAGTGGGATAGGATCACACTTGAAGCAGTAAAATAGATTGAATAAACACTATGTGCCCTGCTCTGCACTTGTTGCTTGCTGGTATAGGCTCTGTCTCCCTCGCATTGCTGAATTGGATGAAGTGGTTTGAAATGGATGGGAGATTAATACAGGAGAGTGGCAAAATACTGTATGCCTTCACGCATATATTCTTCAAATTGATCTTGGTGCTTGTGATTGCCGGCCCTCTAAAAAAGGATTGTTTTAATGTTTGTTTTTTTTACAGGACCTGAAAGGGTTAGATCGTGATCTTCGAGCTTGGAACAAGCTTTGAACCTTTCGTATCTGCATGGTGTTCTGGTCACATTGTAAGAACTACTTGATATATTTTAGAAGCACAGTATTGTGCAGAAAACAGGCACCACAGTCACAGTTCTTTCAGGTAATTCTGCCACTAAACATCCCCAGCACTGCTCTGGATAGTCCCGTGAGCACAGCAGGCTTGGTGCCCAGCCAGTGTACTTTTGTACGGAAACTTCCATGAGAGCAATACAAAGATACTTTCATTTACATGTATATCTTTCAGAACATCTGAATGTACATACTGTACACTTGCACAGACGCACTAAGCCACATCTGTTTCCACATCGGAGTCCTGTTTCGAATCAAAGGTTTAATAAAAAGCTTTTTTCTGTACCAGTGTTTTTTCCTAAATGAAGCATTGATGTGTATGGTGTGCATTAAAACAGTATGGGCGCAGAGGAAGCCCAGCACTATGTGATGACCGGATTGTGCCGCAAATAAGCTAATTGCTTAAAATGCTGTTTTTTTAATAGCATTTTTGAATGACAGAGGAGGACAGTGCACTTTTATTCTGAATGAAATGCCAAAGCTTTAATTACTGGGCAGTTTTTGATCTTAATTTTGTACAAAATGTAGTCATTTTTGTAAGTAGACTCCTGTATATGCAGTGCTACAGTAGTATCTATGCAGTGTTTGTGCCTGGGGTGCTAATGTTTATTGCATTGCAGTATATATACTTATCACATTACATTGAAATTTCCATTTGCCCTTTGGTGTTTTATCTGGGAATTGAATTTTCTTGCTTTTCTGAGTTATGCACCATGTTCCGTCCTCATAGTGAAGATTTCGTTTGGACTACAGTGCCACCTATTGGCAGGTAGTGCCTATAGGAGGAAAACAATCTCTTTCTGGCCTTCCCTCAGGCCTATTGTACAGCAATTATTATTGTAAATATTCTAATAATAACCCAGATTGCATGCCAACTCTTCCCCCCAGTGGTAACATCTGAACTGTGTCCACCAAAACCATTTACAACCACAACCTGGTTTTCCCTGGAGATCTCCTATCCATGTATTGACCAGATCTGTCCAATGCAGTGTGATAACACTACTGTAAATATAACGAATATTACTCCGTGTATTACAAATCATGTTTAGTACAGCAATGGGATGGGTGTCGTGTGAAGCACATTTGATGTTTACAGTGTGAAAACACCTTTTTGCTGTTTGTGTCTACAGTATGTGTGGTACTTAATAAAGGTTGCTCTAGTCTCAAGGCCTAGAGACTAGGAGTCTACTGCTAATCACGTTATGTTCATTGTGTGCTTAAACATTAATATTTATTTTTTAAAATAATCTGGAATCTATTGTGGTACCTAGAGGGTTTTCAAAGCAGGCACTAAGGTATAGAATTCCTACCATACTGAAGTTCTAGAACACAACTTGAGAAAACCAAATATTAAATAGATCTTCACCCACCAGCATCCATGTAAACCTTAAAGATCCAAAGGTAACTTATTCAAAAGGATTATTTTTTTTTACAGCATTTGCATTTTTTTTTTAGTGTTGGTGTATTTAGTGGTGGACTTAGAGAAGTCTTCATGGGTTTAAACAGGTTGTTAATATTGTTCCCGATTCAATGTCTTCCCAACCCATTCTGCTCTAAATACTTGAGGCTGCTGTTGAGAACTTGGTGGCACAGATGAGGACAGCATGGAAATGTATATTTGAAACTTTTTTCTGTATCCCACATTCTTATTCATGCTGTAGACAATTAACGTGTTTGTCTTTAGGAAGCGCATCAGACAAGCCAGGAGCACAGTCAACACCTGCCAGAATTCCAGTGGTGAAAAGTGGAAAGCGAGGTGAGACTTTTTCTCTGTTTATAAGTAAAGGTCCTTAGGATATTTTTTCACCTAATCTAAACCAGAAGAATGCAGTGGTGTTCTAAAGGCAGTAAATTCACACCTGCAAACATAACAGTATCACAAACCCAAAGTATGGTGAGGCTTTGACTCAGTGACACTAACCGGTAACTAGGTCATAATATGGATAAACTAGGGCAGAAGTTAAATTTTATAGAATCGGGTCAAGTTTTATGCAATTCCACTTTTGTAGCTCAAAGTAGAAAAAAAATCCTCCATCGAGTTTTGTGGCTGCCACATCTTGATGTAATCTTTCATAATTATGAAATTATATTGTTGCTGCAGCATGAAATGAAAAAAAATGTGGTTCCTTTACAAGCCAATATATAATTCAGGTTGTGAAAGTTTTTTCTTTTGGTCTTATTGGCTCCGAACAAATCGAACACAAGCCTAGAAAAAAACAAAACATTAGGTCTTGTTTGGCAACAGACTCCACATACTGTACAATTGTCTAAATTTATATTTTGCACACAGAAGATATATTCCCCCATTCCACATCATCCCCTCTCTGTGGTACTGCTCTCCAGTTTCTTACCTCTGGTTACCTAAAATAAAAATAATAATTCCTTACACTTATATAGCGATATTTTCTGGACACTCCACTCAAAGTGCTTTACAGGTCATGGGGATCCCCTCGCCCACCACCAGTTTGCAGCCCCACCTGGATGATGCGACGGCAGCCATAGTGTGCCAGAACTCTCACCACACATCAGATCTCAGTGGGGAGGAGAACAGAGTGAACAGTTTAATGACCATAGAGTCAGGACCTCGGTTTTACGTCTCATCTGAAGGTAGCGCCTTTTTACAGTATAGTGTCCCCGTCACCTCTTCCAGCAGCAACCTTAGTTTTTCCCAGGAGGTCTCCCATCCAGGTACTGACCAGGCTCACACCTGTGTAGCTTCGGTGGGCTGCCAGTTGTGAGTTGCCGGATGATATGGCTGCTAGTACTGTCAAATACAACGGAGCTGCCTCCAACAAGGCACTGACCTCAGCAGCACTACAGGCCTCTGACTGTCCTCCTTGCTGGCACCATGGATTCTAGCAGTCAAAGGTTCCATCTGCTTGCTATCGGAACAGGTCAGGACCCAGCCTTGAAACCAAGTAACACCATCTTTAGCTACAATGAGACCTGCCAGCCAGACCTGTTTCTGCCCCTGTTAGAGGCCCTTGTGAGTCATTTTCTGGCAAGAGTACTAAACGTGAATATTGTCAAACTGTTTCCATAACCTCTGGACACACTCAAAAAGAGTAACTATGTGCCCACAGTGCCCCTTGGAGAGAGTTCAAACAGGGGGCATGAAAGTGTCTTCATAATATTACGTCTAAAAGGGGTCAGATTCACTGTCGAGGAAATGTTTTTCTTTTTTGAGGCCGAATTTGTATTATCCTAAACATTATTCCAGGAAATGGCCTCACCCAACTTTCATATCCCTGTTCCAAACAGTAATGGCCTGTAACAAGCCTGTAACTGAAATCCATAAATAGTAGAGGACTGTTGCTTGGAAAGGAAATGGGGAATAGGCCTAGTTTATTACTTTCTGTTGACATCCTAGACCCCACAGAAAAGGAAAACTCGCCAATAAAGAGCAGGGGGGAGGCAAAAAATTAAAGGGGGTCTGTGGCATGAGCTTCAGTATCAGGCAGAGATGTTAACTGCCTGATTGTGTAGTATCCCCACCAGAATAGATATCCCAAAAGGCACACACATGAAACTTAAAAGCTATAAATATTTCATCCAGGGCAGTTTTGCTCTTGGTGTTATTTTTTTTTCTTAATGATTGAATTTTGTTGTCATCTTCATTCCTGCATGTGTAGTTTCTTTAACCTTGTCAAGTTCAATAACTGAAACCTGTGTACTTCTGAACAGGCCTGTTGTTAGTTCATAATGACATAAACAGAATTTTGAAGATTTCACAGTCAGTTCTCCTCCAAATACGCTGAATAGCGCTGAAGACAGTATTTCTGTTAAATGATAGATATGCGTCATCCTGTCATTCAGTCACTTACAGGAAACCCAAGCTTTTAAGTTTATCCACTACAGAGCTGATTTCTCTGTCTTTAGGATGTTCCAAAAGGAGCACACAGGAGGAATCAGTGTCTGCCCAAATTTCAGAGGTCAACAGGAGAAGTAGTGGTGAGCCAGCAGGGGCCACACTGATGCTAAAACAATTCTTACCACAATGACACTATGCAGAGTTATGTTTTTGTTCATTTGATAGGGATACGTAGTGTTTTAGTAGTGGTGACATTTTTCCATTAAACTTGGAAAATTCATATTTTTTTTAAAATGTTATACTTTAAAATGAATTAGATTCCACACTCTTGTTGTAGTGCTCAGTATCAGAACTGTCAAGTGAAACTGGGTTAACTACTTGTTCATTTGCTTCCTTTAAATTCCGAACAGCACTCTGGTCAGCCTTGAATCTTCAGTTGTTTTCACTCCAGGTGCCTTCCTGGATACAGGGGAACCTGTCTGAAGAAACTCTAGTGTTTCAGCACTTCTGTGTAACCCTCTCTCTAGGTTATGGGAGACATTATGGGCATACTGTAGGTCCCATAATGAGGTTTTCGAATTACAGAAAGTTTACTTAGGTAAAGAGAAAGTAGTGAGTTTCTTCCATGGATGAAAAGCAGGGATTTAATGTAATGTGTTTACCAGCAGCAAACACCAGAGCTTTATTTTACACTTCAGTCTTGTTTTGTTGTCATGCGTGGATGGCAACGTCTACATCTCCTGCTTTTCTCTCTAGAAAAGTGAGTAACCCGTATTGTCATCCTGTCAGGAAAGTGCCCACGGGATTTAATTGTTCACTGTACATTAAGTACCAAACTGTACAGCATAGGGTAATGAAATACACAGTGCAGCATTTATAGATTTGTTAAAAGGTAATTAATTATCTCTTCAACACTCAACCGTAAGTCAGGGAATGGGTGTATAAAGCTGTTAGTGCGTCACTAACATCATGTTACACTTTGGTATCTCGGGGTCCTTACATTTTAATTGAATTTGAATGCAAATCATTTGTATCTTTAAAATTTTCTGGTTTGGGTTTGCTTTTGAAGAGTACTTTTTGTGCTCTTATAGTTTCATGCGGATATCACTTGTTTCTCCATCAAAAGTTAAAATTATGAGCCTGTACTCTTTTTAGGAGTGACAGATTTTATCTCGCTTTCATATAAGTCCAAAACTGCTCCAGCCATTTTCCCAATAAAGAATTGTGCTGCTTTTGCTGAGAGACCAGTGAAAGGATGTCTAGCTACTGTGTCTCAGATTGTGCTCCACATCCAGCCAGTTTCTCTCATTGGGAAAGTGTGTATGTTGTTGGAAAGGCCAGTAGGAACCTCAGAGCTGTCAGTGAGCAAAGGACAAGATTAGATCACTTTATTGGCCATATACAATTTCTCGTATTAGGAATTTGTCTTTTGGCAGACCCCAGCTTGCTCTCCGTGAGACACACAGACAGGGAGAGAAGCCTGGGGTCAGAGCGCAGGGTCAGCCATTTATACGGCGCCCCTGGAGGAGTTGGGGTTAAGGGCCCAGGGCCCCAACAGAGTAGGATGTCTCTGCTGGCCGTGGGATTGAAACCGGCAACCTTCTAACCGCAGTCCTTAGCCACAGAGCCACCGCACTGCCCACAGTCCGTGAGTCTCTGTTCTTACTGAAATTCAGCGGCCCATTATTCTCTTTTGATGCACGTACTGATCTGATCGGTGAGGGCCTGGTTTGCAGATGGATTACTAATTTATTTGTAGCCCCTGCTTAGTGCTGGCAAATATTATCCCAATTTGTCATGAAGGCCTTGTAGGAGCAATTTGAAAACTTCACAATTTGATACCCGTCTGTCTTTTATTTGACCAAAAGAGTTATAAAACTCGAGTTTCCAAGATCAAGGTACGCACACCATAGCTTAGTGTTGTACTTTCTTCTGTTTCATTCTCGTTTTTTGGTTGTTGTTATAGCTTTGAATTAGATAATTGTTTTGTGCTTTAATTTAACTAAACATTTTTTTTTGCTATGCTTATGTCTGTAATTAAGAAAGCAGTGAACTGAACTTCAGCTTCAATATAAGAAACGTGTTCAATTATTCACCTTGTAGTTCACTAATAGCTTTATTTGTATTGTCACCTCTGTTTTGTACCTTGCCAGCTTTTAGATTGTATATCTTGTGTCGCAGTACTGGATTTCAGCCAATGAGCCATATTAGCTTCTGCTTGTTGTTTTCCTCTAAAGAGGTTCAAACTAGAATATCCTGGGAGGTGTTAGTCAGTTTCAAAAATGTGAAATTAAAAATGAAAAAAGAATGTATCAGTCGAGGAGGTATGCAGGAAACGGGGAACAGATCTGGGTGTTCACAGTCAACTACATGGTGTTTCAAAGGGAGTGCTCCCTCAACTGGTTAATTGAGCAGATAGAAATCATGTCCACATCATATCCAGTCTGCCCTTCCATTATGTTTCTATATTGCCAGTAACCGTAACACGTTATTGAAGGCTGAAATATACATGCATTAACTGGTCCCCATTATGCATGCAGGATGCTTTGCAGAAAAGTGTACAGCATGTTAATGTAATAGTGAAATGACACATAAATAGGAGGTTCTTCCCACAGACATAACATTAACTTAAACCAAGGAGAGTGGTTCTTGATTAGCGTCAGGAATGAGCAGACGCACCTAAAGACCCCTCTCCATCCGTATTAAACGACCTCAGTAGAAAAAGAAATTTAGAACACTTATGCTCAATTTCAAAACCGAGACTTACAGTACAAAACCATCACACTGTTCAAAATTAACTGCTATTTTATAATGATGCAGTCCCACTCACTATAAAAGCTGAGTACCTTAAATGTTTTTTTTACCCCAGTGCAGGAAACATTAACATTGTTTTTAAATAAAACAATGTTTTATTCTTTACTAGAACAAAGTGGAGCCTCTCCATTGTGCCTGCTGTTAGAAAATTATGTGAAAGGGTAGGACTTACTTGGCATATACCTGAATTGTTCCCACATAAGTTAGAAATATAACGTCTGGTGTGTTAGAGGTACAGTTTGTAAATGTGGAAATGACCTTCAGGATGCGGCTAACTGTTTGAGAATGAAAAAAAGTTATTTGGTGGGACAGCATAGTGGCACAGTGGTTAATTGGGCCCTGGGTTCAATTCCAAACCTAGGGTGCAAACTGCGTGTATTTTCTCCCCATGTGTGTGTGGGTTTCCTCCAGGTGCTACGATTTTCTTGCTTAGTCTGAAGACGTACAGGGTAGTTTAATTGGCTTATGTCAAAATTAGCCCTGATGTAAGTGTCTGTGTTTGTCTACCCTGCAGTGGACTGGCGTCCCATCCAGGGTGTATCCTCCCTTGCACCTGCAGCTTGCTAAGATCAGACTCTAGTTCCCCCTTGACCCTGGATGGGATGAAGCAGTCAGAAAATGGATAGAAGACATTCTTCAGTTGTTGAATGGAGCATATTGCTGGTGTGTGCTCTCACTCATAAAGGCCCAGCTGAGGGGTTTTGAGTGTATGTTTAACTCTCTAGAGGCCATGTGAACCACACTGCACTCACCTACAGCATGTTTACTAACTGGCTTTGCTCTAACAGTGCAGCAGCTGAGCTGGAATGGCTTAATCCAGATGGTAAAAACAAAGTCTTATTTGAAAATTTAACCAGGGTTATACATTTACTTGATTTTTACCTTAACTAATTTTTGCATTAAATAGTGAAAGTAAAATACTATTCATGTGTGAAACAAAAGGTATAAACTGTTTTTTTTCTGTTCCAACTTTCATTCTGTGCATCAGCCCACAGACTACATGGAGAACCGTCATGACCGCTGGTCTTGAGAGCGCAACAGATATGGACATTGCACTTGAAGGAGCTTGCTCACACACACTCTTTTCCAGTTCTGTACTCATGGATCATATTCTGACAGTTCAACAGATTTCTCCCATTAGGAAGTTACAGATTGTTTTGGGTTAGGGAGAGATTTCTCAAGTGCTTGTTGATTTTTGTTTTCTGGCAAAAACGTTCAGATATCCTGTAAAAAGGCACATTTTGCAGGTGCGCACGCCTTTCCACTGCTTTCATTAAGAAACATGTTTAGGGCATCCCTTTCTGAAGCCGATGTGAGGGGTCATGGCAATGGAGTTTGTGTTTTGTTAAATATTTCTTGGACAAATTGTTTTTGTTTTTTGTCAGGCCGAAACCAGCTGGCTTATTGATGCTCTTACCCATCATATTGAAGGTAATATGCATCAGAAATCATCTATAGGCATTTGTTTAAAACTATTTGTTGGCAACAGGTACAGTAGTTTAAGGCTTTGGGTAGTATGGAATGGTAGTATGTAAAATTCCATTATTATTTGACCAGCAGCCATATCACCCTGTACCTCACAACTGACAACCCACTGAAGCTCACCAGGTATGAGCCTGGTCAATACCTGGATGGGAGACCTCCTGGGAAAAACTAAGAATGCTGCTGGAAGAGGTGTTAGTGGGGCCAGTAGGTGGAGCTCACCTTGTGGTCTCTGCGGGTCCTCATGTCCCAGTATAGTGACGGGGACCTACACTGTAAACAGGTGAAGTCCTTCGGATGAGATAAAACTGAGGTCCTGACTCTCTGTGGTCATTAAAAATCCTTGTGTGTTTTTCGAAAAGAATAGGGGTGTAAAATAAAATCCTGAATCCCAGGACGTTTCTCAAAAAGAGTAGGGGTGTCACTCCGGCATCCTAGCCAAATTTCCCATTGGCCTTTACCAATCATGGCCTCCTAATAATCCCCATCTACAGTATGAACTGCTTTCATCACTCTGTTCTCCTCCCCGCTGAGAGCTGGTGTGTGGGGAGAGTACTGGTGCACTCTGGCTGCCGTCGCATCTCCCCATGGTGGTGGAGGGGAGTCCCCATTACCTGTAAAGTGCTTAGATTGGAGTGTCCAGCAATTCTTCTTCTTCTGCTTCTTCTTCTTCTGCTTCGTCTTCCTACTGGTTCTCATTGTGATGCAAACAGTATGCATTGCATAGATGGTACATTTAAGATTTGTTTTTAGGGGGGCATCAGCAGAGTGTGCCTGAATCGTAAAGAAAGTGGGCTAATCCAAATCAAGCCCTAAAACACCGACAACATTAGTGAATAATCAAGCTAAGAAAGATTTGGACTTCAGGGTGTTTGTACCAAATTGCCATTAAAATCTGTAGTTTTCTTTACCTACGGTATGAGGGAGGCTTTCGTGTTATAAGCTGCGTCTTGCAAACCTGAACTGAGAGAAGTGTCAGGAAATGTACACACTCTTTGAGTCCCAGAACACGTAAGAAGTAATTTAAATTGCTTGATGCAGCTGTTTTTGCTGCCTTTTATGGGTTTATGTTTACCCCCACGTAGAACTATTTAGCAGGTGGGGTGCCGACCTGGGTTAAATAAACCCAGCTGGTTCCTTTGAGCCCCAGCTGTTTTTTATAACAGGGGTGGAGGCAACAAAGCTGCTGGAGACTGTGATATTGACATACAGTGTGGTGAGGAGGCAAGGTTAGGCTGGATGCTAAGTCATGTAGACAATTTAGACATGTAATACAGGAAGGACAGCAGTCTGCTCCATGGTTTTGACTTCTGGCATGCGAGGTAGGTGCATTACCTCACCTCTGGAGTCTGGAGCTTTTTCTTGACTAGGTGACCTTTGGGGCACCTAAGCTGTAGTTCAGTCATTATCCACTAGGTGTCCCTGTATCCACTCTTAAGCTCTGGAATCAGTGGAGTCGACACTGGAGCTGTAATAAATTTGGAAAATGAGAATATGGCGATGTTAAAAGAGCTGAAAACATCACTGAAGGATCTACAAGTTTAAGAAATTAGGCTCTCTCTCATCAGCACCTGAGAACGGTCTTTAACTATAATAGCGAGTTGAGAGTCATGAAGTAAGTCTATGAAATAAATGACACATTTGAGGAATTAAATGCCTACCAAGCCTTGACATGACAGATACGCAGCACAACGGACTGTCTTTGTTAAAGCTTTCAATGAAAAAAATAATTTCAGTCAACCATGCAGAGTACACATGCAGTTTGGAGGTGGAGAACCTCTTGTTAGATTCTAGAAACTTCATCTATTTGCTGTGTTGTGTTGTCTTTTACTGTATATGGCAGATATTGTCCAGACTGCAGGTTTCAATCCTCTCTCCAAGCAAGCACCATTACTGATTGAGCTGCTCGTGAGCCCCATGAATGTTTCCCTGTTTGTTTGTTTTTTTCTCATTCCGGTAGATTTTAATAAAGAATAGTAGTGCCCACAATATCAAACAAGCCTGCATGGAGGATACAAGAAATCGAAAGACTATTACAATTTCATTTTTGCTTTAATTAGTATACCCTGCAGAAAAAAGACTGCCTTAAGGCAAAGCACTAGACCTGTGGATGCTACCTCGCGTGTCTCCTCATGACCTCATCTCCTCCTTTTTGTTGCTTTAATTTTACTAGAAATATCCCTTTTCTGTTTATTTCCTGTCCAAGGTCTCAAGAGCCAGCCGTGTGCTAAGCTGTCCAGAGAAAGCAAGAAAGAATATAGAAACACCGTCAAGCCCAGCAAGATTAATTATCACGAACGTGCCAGTGGATCATCTGAAATGCCCACATCTGGCCTTGCCATCACACATCACACAGGTGGGTGTTGGTCTAAAATAAAAGCCCACCCTGAATGGAAAGCACTTTGGGATCTCTGGGGTAAAAAGTACATTTTCATCAACATCGTTTTCATTATTGAATCTTTTGTACTGGCTGTTTGGAAGTCTAGTGTGATAATGTAATTAACAATTTGTTCAGGAGAGATTCTCATATTCCATTTTATACAAGCAGTTACTCTAAAAACGTTTCGCTTGCAGTTTGTACTTGGTAACAAAGGTTCCCAATCGAAGGTACATCCGTTTTTGAATTCCTGTTTTCCTTTTGACTCCTAATTCAAAGTAAGCTGTGCTTAGCCCTGTATTGGCCGCTCCTCCAATTTATTGCACTAGGGATAGTTACTGGGCAAAGAGGGGTTTGAAAAGTCTTACAGGGACCTGTTACCATTAACGTTCGATCCATCCGATGTAAAAAAAAATATCTTATAATATTATAAAATGTGTTGTAAGGTCTTTCAAGGGGTACTTGTTAAATTCCTCACACTGTTAAAAACCGCATACAGAATGCTGCATCACTAACATTAAAACATCCTCAGCAGAAAATGTACAGATGAAAGAGGTGGAGATTGAAGCAGCTGCAAGTTGTAGCAACAGCCTAGTTTATACCTCTTACACTAATGGCGATGAGAACCCTGAGCCCATCGAGTCTGGTGAGTGAGAACTGCGTTTCCGAATTTTGGAAGACTCTTGAGTGGCTTTTTTTTTTCCTTTTCCTTTTGCACTTTCCTTTCTTAATGAGCTTTTGTAAGCTTTTCCTCATTCCAAACCTCAACATTTTGTTCAAGATTCACAAGTCAACAAAAAAGTTTGCCGTATCCTAGCAGAGTAGTTTTTAACCTTTTGTATCCGAAGCATCATTTCAAACCACAAATAACTTGCATACAAGTGTTGGGGTGGGTTCCTTATGTCATTGCAAATGGGTTTAATCCGTCATTAACCATTTTGAAAGATTATGCTGTCTACATTATTTAAATTGATGATTAAATGAGAAGTTGTGACAGCTTTTGGTAGAAGGGGAATATGGCTGTGGAAAAGAGAGAGTTGTTTGGTATGGATGGGAAAAACACAATTTCATAACTAGAGCCATTTACCATTGTGCACAGACCTGTATAAGCACGGTATCCACAACACAGGGTGAAAACCACTGTCCTAGAACATACTTTGTACTGGGGCATTGCTTGGATACACATGTATTTTATTTCTTTCTAAATCCCTTAACCTATCTGTATTAACAGTCTACCTAAATAGTGACAGGTTGTCTCTTTTCAGATGGCATGATTAAGATAACGAAAGTATGGTCTCTAGCCATATCCCAGGCGGAGTTCTTGCGGATGTTAGGTATGTAAAGAATATTTCACCAATGAATACCCAAAAATCCCTGCCCTATCAAATACAAATATGCAGTGTTAATGAAAAATGGAGACCAAATTATACATAGAAAGTTAGCCAGAGGTCTGTTACAAAGTAATCTAAGCCAGAACACTACAGTATATAACAAGCAATGTATGAGTGTATTTATATTTTGCACTGCTGTGGTTTATGGCAATAAAACTCCTTCAAGTAGAGTATATCTAAGATTAGTTATTAGCATTATTGCTGAGAGCTGTACAAGCTCCTGATGTTTATAATGTATGCGGCACAATCTTTATAACTCTCAACTCTATTTTCAGCTGAATTGCTGAAGGCTAAAAAGCACATTCTGCAGTCAATGTAACTGCTGCAATATTGTGAGTGTTGGAAGTGTAATTTAGAAACAGTAGTGACAAGTTAATGACAGGGAGTCACACTCACAGTAGTTTTGAGAATCCTTTTGAAGCCCCATACACATAGTAATGGCTTCACTTATGTTCTTAGTTGTAGTTTTAACATGTCTCAGTGCTCCTAGCATTGCTGGGGTGGGAGAACAACAGTTGTGGTGAAAATGTGAGCATTGTTGGGGTTTATTCTTTTAAACCCCATCTGAAATGTTTGTTCTCTTCCTATATTACAGAAGCAGAAGAGAAAGAGCTGGCAGATCTGTGTTCTGAAAGCACAGGAGACAAAGAGCTCTAAGGTATTGCATCCGCTGGCTGAAAAGCCATTAGACAAAATACATTGTGTAATGTATATTGGCCAATGAAATAAGTGGATCTGTAAGGTGGCTTCCACATCTCAAATTAAATAAGAACACAGCAATAGAGATTGGATAATGCCTTGCTTAAAGGTTTCTTAAGATGTTCCACAATAATTGCCATAGCATTGCACAGAGACAAGTTGTATTTGTCATAATGGCATTTACAGAAAACACAAGGGCCACATTTGTTCACACCTCTGTCCATTCCTTTAAACAATATCCATCAAAAACTAATCTACAACAACAGTCCGCTCTTTGGAAGTGTAGACAAAGTCTGTTAATGTTAATGTGGTACTCTTTAAAATAAAGAAACAGACTAACCACAGTAGTGTCACAGGTTCAGCAGATAGCTAATAACAGACAATTAATTTCATGTTTTATATACGCTTATGTGTTCTGAGGTATGCCATTTATAACTATGTACTGTTCAGTATAATGAAATTGCCATGCAGTCAGAACAGGACAGAGAACAATTTGGGGGGGAGTAGACTGTTGATAGTGATTCTTCGCAGAGTCGATGTTGGTGGTAACTTAGTGTCTTCTGCACCTATCTAGCAAATGGAGGTCTTTTGGTCATCAGATGTCTTAATGCAGACTTAAGTTACTAATACGCGCTCATCTTCCAGAGTAAGAATAAGCAGGGTAAATACTGACGCCTGCTTTTTTTTGCGAGCAAAGTTTATGCCATAGACTCAAAGCTTCTGTCTGTGCTCGCTTGTAAGAATCCCTCTTAGATTCCAGCTCTTGATGTAAGATCTGCTGATTTAGGGCCTCTTACTCTTGACGAAGACCATCAAGAGTATTCGGAGCAGATTTTGTTTGTGATTCTGCTGTATGAAGGGTGGCTGGGGGTCATGGGGCTTATTGTATTTCTCCACTTCAACAATAAGCAAGTGTTTCATCTGTGAAATGATTCTTGAACATACAGTGACTTGACCCATAACCTCATCACCTGGTCACCCACTTCACCGCAGGATGCTGAATGAAAGCACGTGGAGTCCAGTGGCTGTTAATCTCTCCAGCACCTCTGTAGGCAGTTAGTGAGTCGTTGGAACGTGGCTCATGAAATGGTTTAATAAAAAATAATAATTCCTTTCACTTATATAGTGCTTTTCTGGACACTCCACTGAAAGCGCTTCACAGGTAATGGGGACTCCCTCCACCACCACCAATGTGCAGCCCCACCTGGATGATACAGCAGCAGCCAGAGTGCGCCATTACACTCACCACACACCAGTTCTCAGTGGGGAGGTGAACTGAGTGATGAAGCCAGTTCATAGATGGGGATTATTAGGAGGCCATGATTGGTAAAGGCCAATGGGTAACACACCTACTCTTTTCAAGAAACTTTCTGGGATTTTTAATGACCACAGAGAGCCGGGACCTCAGTTTTATCTCATCCAAAGGACGGCACCTTTTTACAGTGTAGGTCCCCGTCACTATACTGGGACATTAGGACCCACAGAGACCACAAGGTGAGCTCCACCTACTGGCCCCACTAACACCTCTTCCAGCAGCAGCCTTAGTTTTTCCCAGGAGGTCTCCCATCCAGGTACTGACCAGGCTCATACCTGCTGAGGTTCAGTGGGTTGCCAGTTGTGAGCTACAGGGTGATATTAGCTGCTGGCCAATATCTGCACCGCAGGACGATGTATGCTGATGCTCCACTTCATGCGGAGCCTTCCACATTGCTACAGTGCTGACACATTACACACACTGCCAGTGCAGATGGCTGCATTGGCTACAGGGGGCATGTGATAGGAGTGGAAGGCACGCGTCGTATACATGCAAAATAGACTTCTTGAACTGAAATGATTCTTGCTCCGATTTTCACAGGGAAAACATATGGGAATCCAGGCTTGACACTTCATTGATTACTTGACCCATGATGAAAAGTTATTTAGCTATAAATAAATATTAATACTTATGTGTTAATATATGTATATAAATAGAACCTCGGGCTGCGATCATTTGAGCTGCATTTATTGTGAGGACTTACGGTATGTGAGAATACAGTTTTCATAATGGGACATCATCATGTTGGGCCATCCGACATATACGATAATATGAACTGTTGTCCGTTATTTGCACGAAAGTGCTCTTCCAAGCCTGGATGAAGACCTGAAAAGTAGGTTTCATTAGTTTCACCCCCTCTCCAGACTCCTGCCTCTCCAGATTCCTGCCGGCCGTGTCGTGAACCAGAGTGGGTTCTTAGAAGATCTTCCTTAAATGAGAAAGAAGGCAGCATCCCCCCCAAAACAGTAACAATAGGAAGACGTTTGATTGAAAATTTGTACTCTTTGATTTGTGCGTTGTATCTTAAGGTGGAACTTTTGAATTACATTGTTTTGTGAAAAAAACATTCAGTGGAGCATTTCAGACATAAAAGGAGCAATTTTTTTTGTCGTAGATAAGCATGCAGTGTTCTAGTGATTCAACTGTCCAAAGCATCATGAACCCAGACTGTTAATAACCTTCCTTAAATTATTATTATTATTTTCATGTCTGCTTTGTTTTTCTCCCCCTACAGTATTTTTTTTACCACTAGTCGTCACTTGGGAATGCAAGTCAGTCAGTCAACAATTTGGACTCCCTCCTCATCTTGATCCATTTTGGCTTTTGCGGAAGCACTTGGCTTTTTAATGTAAAGCACATAGAACGCCCCTTTGCCTTGTGTAATAAATAAGAAATGAAGGCTTCTTGTGCTGGATTTGAACTTTTTAAGATTTTTACTTCAATTGTGCTTTTTTGTCAACGGCAGAGTGAAGCATGTTGCTTCAGTAATGTTTCAGTGAGGTACCTCGGTGAAATTTAAGAGGTGGTTTGGTTTTAATAGTGACATACAGTACTGTAAATGTGTTTTTGAGAATGATTGCAAATGTAAGCATTTAGGAATTCATGTTTGATTGTTCACAGTCCAGTTTAAATAAAATTTAAAACTGTATAATGAAAATAGTCTTAATCACTGACTTGATATGGTCAGGAAAGACTGACGTTACATTCCAAAAATAATCCAGTTTTAAATGCATTTTATAATCTCACTTTTATTGGATTTATGTAATACACCCATCCGTCTTTTTACGAATTTTCTTTTTATGAAACTTCAGTACTACAAAGCATGTGAACTGTTACCCACATTTTGAATAACGAAAGTCAACTTCCAAAATATGTGATGTGAAGAAAAAAGTCAAAACCTCCTCCAAATGCAGAGTGAAGAGGAAGACGACATCCGTTTGATATTGAGTGTGCACATCACATTTCCGCCTAGCTAGAGCTAGGACAGAGCCTATGGAGTGGCATGAGAGACGTGTGTGGTAAAGTTCACTGTGTTTTGTTTCGTGCATTAGTCATGTAAATGGAAGAAAATTTCCAGTTTGTAAGAAATATTTCAAGGATCACAGTTGTCATGTTCCGCAGGTTAGATAAATGTTGCCTTTTCTTTTCTTTTGAGGTTGTTTATATACTATGTTTTCGGAACATTGCCTTTTGATACAAATCATATCATTTTAAGGACGTAATGGACACAATATATATTGGACTACTTGGTAATTGAGTAGGAAATTTATTTTTGTTGGGCGCAGCATAGTTTTAGTAAGGTACAGTAAGTGTTAGGGCTTGTATTCAATTAAAGTTTCATTGCCTAATCATCTATTTGTATTTGATATTTACTGAATTCACTTTTTTTTTAACCAAGCAAAAAAAAAAAAAAAACTTGTTCTCATATGGAGTTACAGTATCTGGAAGGTAGAAGACTTTTTCACTACTTCAGTACTTGGTACTAGCTGCTGTACATTCTGCTTTAATGGAGTTTGTAGTTTCTTTTCTGTTTTCTTGTAGCATTTTTGAAAGCTCCCACTTATTGTTGGGTTCTGGGACCATACTATAGGATTCCTCTGGTTTATTTCCCTGGACTGAGAAAATACTAGCATACAGTATAAAGCCTCCCTGAAGCAGTCTCGGTAGTGGGACTGTAGAGAGAGATCACTTTATTGGCTATATACCATTTCTTGTATTAGGAATTTGTGTTTTTGCCTACCCTAGCTTGCTCTCCATGAGACACACAGGGAGAGAAGCTTGGGGTCAGAG